ATTTAAGCTTGGATCAAAATATCGTTTATAATCTACTGTCTCTACGTTACGTCCTTCTGCAGTGGGCGCCATGAGTGGAAGGCAAAACAAATCGAGTCAATTTCAAGCCTCAACTTTAAAGAATAAATGTGCTATGCACCACCATAGAACGCGTCAGTAATGTAGCCTGAACAGTGGTATTGTAAAGCCGTATATTCCTAAAATCCATAATGCCATCAGCTTGGTTTTAAATTTTAATTGTGGAGAAGCTGGACTTCAGATTCCTATTACTAGAGCTCAGTTCATTCTGTTACGTCCATACTGAACCAGCAATGTTACCAATTTCCAATGACTACTGAATGTCTATACTAAGTGACATATAAATCCGAACACCCAGTTTAAATGGTTTTATTTTAATAAAAGTTGGTGGTGAAATCTTAGTAAAGTATCAACGTTGGCGGATTTTGGTTCTTGACATCCTTTACGATCGGTTACGATGCCTAGAGTACGGAGACCTGTACGATTTCGTCAACTTAGTGAGTTTGATAGGGGCCGTATAGTGGGACTTCGGGAAGCTGGACTTTTTTTTCGGCCAATTGCAGTTAGAGTGCAAAGAAGTGTAGACACTGTGGTTAGGTGTTGTCATGCATGGCTTCGAGAAGGCCGTACGCAAAGAGCAAGGGGCACAGGACGCCGCCGTAGAACAACAGACCGTGAAGATCGCCGCCTAAGATTATTGGGACCGTTTCTCCACTACCAGGTCCATTGCAAATGAATGGTTTGCAAAACACGGAAGACCTATTGGCATGCGAAGTGTTTTCCGACGAATGAGAAGTTTTGGCTTGTTTTCATTCCGGCCACACTCCCTTTAACTCGAGAACACCGACGTAATCGCCTTGAGTGGTGCAGACAACGGTCGCTCTGGGATCAGGAATGGAACAGTATTGTCTTTAGTGACGAGTCTGGATTTTGTTTAGGCATGCACGATGGTCGTGCCAGGGTTAGAAGGCGACGTGGCGAAAGGAGGAATCCACAGTTTTTTGTTGAAAGACATGTTCATCACACTGTTGGAGTTATGGTTTGTGGTGCTATAGCTTATGGTTCCAGGTCACCTTTAATCTTCATCAGAGGTAACATAAACGCGCAGCTTTATATCCACGAAGTTCTAGAACCCCATCTTTTACCCTATCTTGACATCCTGGCAGATCCAACTTTTCAACAAGATAATGCCCGACCACATGTTGCAAGAGTCACAATAGACTTCTTTCAACATAATGATGTCACATTGTTACCATGGCCACCAAGATCTCCCGACTTATCCCCAATTGAGCACGTGTGGGATATGAAGGGTAGGAGATTGCTCAATTTGCAACGTCCTCCTCAGACTCTAGAAGCACTTCGAGAGGAGTTGGTGGTTGCCTGGAATGAGATACCACAGGAGGACATTGACCACCTGATCAGAAGCATGCCTAGGCGCGTTGGAGAATGCGTAGCACATCAGGGTGCATCCACACATTATTAAATGTCAAAGGGCTCTAAGGCAGTGCAATCATTTTGAAATTTTTATCATTTTACTTTTATGCTTCATTAAGTACTTATACAAAATTTTATTAAAATAAAATAAACTGGGTGTTCGGATTTATATGTCACTTAGTATATATACATATAATAGCTGTCTTCACTACACCGTTGTATTTTACATTATAGCATGAATTTAGATGGATTAATGGATTACGTGTTTTGACATGTTTACATGCGGCTACTGAGGTGAGAACAAACAAACATAGACACAACAAGTATTAATTATATTAATTGCTGCAGGCTTTCAATGGTCTATTTTTAGTACGAAAGCATAGTAGACACGCATTTACGCTATGACCGAAATACCATTCCACTATGAGAGGAAAAAAATTTTATAAAGATGGTAACGCAGAAAATCACAAAGAATTCTTTGGTCTCATTTCACTGGTTTACTAACTGAATAATGAGACACCGAGAGTCTCAGCAATAAATAAATTGCAGGTCCCTGAAAGCATACGTTTTTAATTGGCAAACTTTTTGAATAGATCAAGAAACCGTTGACGAACAAAATAATATTTTTTAATTAATCAACGTAGTCTTGCTAATTACAACAATATAATGAGAAAATCAAACAGGAAGATTCAGTCAGCTGCGACGATTGAAAATTGGCAAAAAGGCATCAGCTCAACTTTTCAGTCATTTTTTATCCACCATCGATTACGATGCTAAATTCATAAAACAGAGAAAATATCCCAACCATTATCATTGAAACGAATACAATCCTTTTTTGAGGTACTGCTCGTGTTTTTTGAAAATTAATTCGTAGCCACCAGTGCTGTTATCGCGGTACATTTTAGGACTTCAATTTTGTATGACGCGTCCGTTGGTCAAAAACTGAAAATTAGCTTCTCACTGTTATACCAGGCTGTGCTGCGAGTAACGCTTCGCAATCTTCTAGAAAGCAAATATTTTGATGATAAATTTGAGGCGGCAACATGTGCAGGAAGACAAAAGTAAACCAAAAAGCATCACCGTGGTGGAAGGTGAAGCGAAACAGAGGTTTTATTGAGTATGCCGCATGACTGGAGAGTCTCACACTTCGGGCAGGGTAGACCGATGGGGCAATGCTACGGAGCTTTTTGGTTGAGATTGGCTATAAAAGCTTCCCCCTGTTAACAAAAATATTGTGTTATCGTGATGCGATATCGGTTACCAAATACCACATGTGTGCCAAGAATGCTCCTTTTCTTGGATAGTGAAGGCAACCTGGGGAAAGTTAATTGTTTTTATATATTTTTTTCTTTTTAAAGAAGTGCGTTCAAATAGATCAGCGGTTATAATAACCTACCGGTTCCATTCATTGATCAGGTAGACGACTACACACACATGAGTCTTGTATATTCAAATGACCTTTGAAACATTTACTTATTCTTTCTTCATGTCTGGACAGATAGTGCTTTACATTCTGCGTCATCAGTATGTTCCGGTACAAAGAGTGTGTGTTTTTATGAATAAATGATAGAGGACTCACAGTACGTATATAAGTGCCTGAAACTAAAAACATAAGAATCATCATACTCTGTTTAAGTGCAGAATTTTAGCTCCCAGAAAAGTTTTCAAAATCCTCTTCTGCGCATCGTTTTCAACGCCGAATGAAATATTTGAACACATCCAAAAATATAGCACCTGACCCTGTCAAATATGTCACATATTATATCGGTCCTGTTCATCAGAACGAGACGCTTCCGGAGTTGTCGCCATTTCTTTTATCATAACCAAGATATGCTCCGCTCATGATCAAGTGATACAACATCGTTTGTATGGAGATCAATGTTTTTTGTTTGCTTTGCCGGATTTGAAATCTGTGCAGATGTGTTGATTAAGCTGATATAGAAAATTACAAGATAAAACTACAAAGTTGATGAGATCAACAAACTTTGTAAAATGGTAGCAAAGAACGAAAATACAACTAATGAGTATAAAAGAACCTCTATCCATTCACTGGAGCAACGGAGGTTCATTTCATGCTACAAAATGATAAAATTTCGTTTAAATGTCTACCTATAATATTTTCTAATTCGTTTCTACTTTCTACGCCACTGAGCGAGGAAGTATTGTAATCGCGAAAAATTTCGAAAATAAGATATGTTTTTTGTATGCCATATGACATGAACATCGGTGTGGTTGTCAGCGGCCATTTTGTGAGGGTGCGACAGGGTTGCCAGATTGTGCATTAATATCCCGTTTCACTCTCCTGGTCCCAGTAGAGTAAGTTCCGCCAACTGTTGAAATATACTCTACTAGGCTTTATAAGACTATTCGTGACATTTTTCCCAAAATCATTGCAAACACTTGAAAAAGTGCAAATAAAAATTTAAAATTATTTCCATGACGCCGCAAAATATCTCCGTCGGTACCTTGGGTTATACATCTTGACAGAAGGGATGTTCGATACGATCCTACATTTAGAAGTATCAATACGTTTCACGAGTATCGTCATCTTTCGATACGGACTGTGTCAGAAAGAGTGACTGCCATTTGGCTACGACATTACCCTGCCAAATCAGACATATATTTCATCACTTTCAAAGAAATTGTACAAAATCTTCAAATTTGTGAAGTTAGCGAGTTTCACTTCATACGTTGTTACCCGACATGCCCAAATCATCAGTTGCTGCCATGATATTCATCCCGACCACTGCATCCCCACGGCTAGGCGGCCTGTATCTTAAATTTGTATTGATAGGGCAGCGGGTTATGCTATAAATCATATGTAACAGTGTTTGTGCACTGATAGCAACGGTTACATGATACCAAAAATATTTTCATAAATAGGAGATCTTTCCCCTTCCGGGTCGAACAATCTAACAAAGATGCTTATAATCATGATACCTAGTAAATTTTCACGAAAAAAATTCAAAACCAGCAAATGTAAAAGATTCATTTCGCACCCTCCACCACGGGACATGATCGTCGTTAGACTTGGCAACCCTGCGAGTGTCGGACAGATATCCCCGCCAGTCAAAAAAGAAAAATAGACAAACAATAAACATTACTAGTTCTTTTTGATTTTTGGACTTAAAGGCCATTATCTGTGAAACATTATTCATAATTTTTTTGTCTATGTCCATAGTAATTGCATTATGCATCAGGGAGATCTAGGGATTGACACGTCTTACACATGAAGGGTACAGGTCCAAAAGGGGGCAAGTCGTAATTTTACACAAATAGATCTAGTGGTGCCATCTTGTAGCAATTTTAACGTAGAAGTGGTCAGCGACTTGAACACGTCCTGAAAGTGCTTAGTGCCTGTGAAATTCTAATTCTTATTTACGCATACACCGCCAATAGGGGACAAGTCCGCATCAGTCAGGTCCTAAAAGGGTAAAGTCCATATAAACAGCTGATAGATGTCGATCTAATACGCGCAGTTTAGAGTTAGATTAGTCGGAGTAGCTAGTGTTTTCAATGTTTTTCAAGTAATTTAAAAGTAAATAACAATGAATACTGAGAACAATAGTAGCGGAAATGAGAGTGAAGTAGTATCTAGACAGAATGAATCAAAAAAGAGGAAAAAGTACGGCAGAATGAGAGATGTCATGAAAAAGATTAGACTGCAGAGCCACGAGGTAGGTGCAAACTGTAACTGTCGTAAACAATGTTTTCAAAATGTACCTGAAGAAGCAAGAAAAACCATTCTCAAGAATTTTAACGCAATGACTTCTATTAATGAGCAGAACTCCTACTTATGTGGATTGATTACGGTACTCCTCATTCGCCGAAGAAGGCCTAGGAAAGATGAAGACGTAGCAAATTTGAGAAGTAGTGCATATTCTTACAGGGTACGTTTTAGAACTGATAATAGTTTACAGGAAATAAATATTTGTAGACAAGCTTTTATGTCTGTTCATGGAATAAAGAAAAAAAATTAGAGATACTACAAAAGTCACTAAAAATGACTGGAGTCGCTCCAAAAGATAAAAGAGGAGAAAATAAAAACCATCCTAGGAAATTTGATGCTCACGTTCTTGCAGCAATAGACGAACATATAAAGTCATTTAAAGGCAGGAAAATCCACTACAGTGTGACGGATAGTAGAAAATTATACTTACCTGAAGACTTAAACATAAAAAAGATGTTCAAAATGTTTTGCGAGTTGAACCCTTCTATGAAAGTATCTTACGAGTCGTACAGAACAGTCTTTAATACAAAATTCAACATAGCCTTTGGATATCCCACGACCGATACATGTAGTTCTTGCGATGAGTTTCTTATAAAAATAAAATCTCTTCAGTCTGATGTTTTAAAGAGTATGGATATTGCTCAAAAAGAACGCTTTCAAAAGGAAATACGCCATATTACAATACAAAATGATGTACACAAAAGAAAGGCTGAGGTATTTTACAGTAGAAAAAGGGCTGCGAAGAAACGAAGTCGAACCTCTGTGACTCACGAAGCTATTTGTCTCGATTTTGGACAAAATCTCAGTGTCCCAAACATAACAACAAACGATGTTTACTATAAGAGCCAGCTGAACGTCTATGCCTTTAATATCCACATTCTATCTACAGCAAAAAGTGTGTTTTACATTTACCCGGAAACACTTGGCAAAAAGGGAAGCGACGATGTATGCTCAATGCTGAATGACTTTTTATGGAATTTTCTCGATTTACAAGTAAGACCGCTTGAAATATTCTGCGACTCGTGTGGAGGGCAAAATAAAAATTACACGATGTTTCGTTTTTTGCATTATATTGTCCACAATACACATAGACTTGATTATGTTAAAGTTACTTTTCCTATTCGTGGGCATTCCTACATGGAACCGGACAAAAATATGGGCTTAATAAACTCCCACCAAAGAGCCGAGATTCCTTCAGATTGGGTAGAAATTTTTAGGAGTGCTCGTGCAAAACCATCACCATTTGACGTTGTGGAAATAGATCAATCCTACTTTCGAGCATGGACAAATTTTTTTAATACCAAAACGGATTATTTGAAGAAATGTCCTTTCCGTTCCCGTCCTATTCGAGAATTAGAAATACATCAAGAACATCATAGACTAATATATTACCGGGAGTCCTATAATGGAGCATAGGAGTCAGCAATAGTGAAGGGAAAAGAGACTAAGCGAAAGGGACCTGTGCTATTGCAAAATGAATTTGTACTTTCTCCGTATTCTTATTCAGGTAAAAAATACTTATGTCTTGAAATACTATTTTTTTAAACAACAAAATTATTTTTAGGTTTGATACCCATCACGGCTAAAAAATTTAAACACCTACAAGATTTAAAACGATTCTGTGGTGACGAAGCAAAACAATTTTTCGATAACCTGCCCAAGAACTAGAAGTATATTTTATATTAATAACTATTGTCTACTTTTCGGTATACCTTGTTTTTTTTGGACTTGGCCCCTTTAGGCCAACAATGTTTGATGGTTTGACCAATTAATGCTTATGTTCTACTTTGTATAAATGACTATATAAGTTTAATTTCTTGTGTGTGTCTCAATAATTACCCAAATAACTAATCTAATTAACAGAATTCATAATAACCATCAAGAATTTATCAATTACTAGTTTTAAAAGTTAAACTCTGTTTTGTACGAAATAAACATTTGGCGACTTAGCTCCTTATGGACCTGTACCCTTCACATATTATCTGTGTTTTAGGATGAAGAGGACGTAATGTTTTTATTGCTTTGAAGAAATTCATTAACCCATAAATTAATAAATGATTACTATTATGACGTATAGGAAGATGAGGAATTGGATGGAATGTATTTTATATTCTATTTTCTTGCAAAATACAGACAAATCCACACTATTCAACAGGTATGTAATGATAACTTTCAGTATATTGAAGTTGGTAAATTCGAGAGTGCCATGCATTAGCAAACGTCCAAATCTGCTGCCAAATTTAACAGCTAGAAAATCGACCTATTATTTGCCGCATTCCCATTCGCTGAGGGGGATAACGGATTGTTAAATGTAAACCTATAAAATATATCAAAATACATGAAAGTTGTCCTGTTTATTCTGTACAAAAGCATCATGTTGGAATCAAAAAGTGGTCTTGTTTATAATACAGTCGAATTTTCACGATTTTATTCAATATTTCAATAGAAATCACTAATATTCAGAGACCTTTGACAGCTTCCGTCAAATTGCATTTCGATAAGGTATTTTCCCATTGATCCATAATATCAATATTGGTGAAATTGGCCCTTAAATAATTATTTAATTTATGGGTGAAAATTGGCTCTTATCAGCCCACCTACTTTCCTCAAATTTGAGTTGATCTCTAACATTTTTATTGCTAAAAAATTAGTGGGAGGAGGGTGGTAGAGGTATGGCGGAAAGCATTTCTTCATTTTTTTATGTTAATATACTTATACGCTTCCAGCCCCGGTAATTCTACGTACCAATTAGCTATATTTTATACATCCTAGGTTTCCCCATACACTTGTAGTTAAGAATGATACAGAAATGTTTTTGATATGCGTCTTCTTCTGATATTTGGACTTAGCGCGGCGTAACGATCTGCTTGCTTGTTCTGCTGCTACTACGGCGGTCTTTCGTGGACGATATGGAAAGGGACAACATTGCCAGATGGACAACAACTATTGCTGGGGCAAGGTAAGATTGAGTAATCGAATGGTCCTGTGTGACCGGCTTGATCAGTTTAATTTTTTTAATATACATGTTTGTAACTAGATTCTAACTCAGTGGGTTTAACTTGAACCTAATCATTTATGAACTGATGATGACATTAGGTAGGGAGCGGACAGTCAACCTACTTGACGCCGTGTTTTAACTTTAGATCCAAAGGCTGAAAACTGAGAAGCACAATGACATGTATCAAAATATCGTTCAGCGGTTACATCACTTCTAAGAAACGCTCAAACTGATGGCTACAGTAGCGCTACGTTATGATACTGGATGGGACCAAAATCCTTTGACATAATAAAAATATAAACAAAATAAGCTACATGTATTCTTCTTAGTTGGCGCTGGACATCCAAATGTCGTATATTCTCTGTAATCTGGAGATTCAAACATGCATACCTTGATGCCAACCTTGGGTTCTAGGTTTTAATATTTGATTTTCCCCGCCTTTTCGTTTTTTTTTTTTTTCGTTACGGTCCATAAAGGAATATCTCTAGCCTACAAACTAGACCATCTGAGAAAAGAAGGTCAATTAATTGATTCCATACAATTAGTCCATAGATTTTTTCCCTTTCCCACTGGCATTGCATCTGGAAAGGTAGCCTCTCCCCGATACCTAACTCGAGCACACGTGGCAACATGATAGCTCGGTCAGAGCATAGACAACACTGTGGTGTTACGTGTGATTCCATACCAAAACACTGATCACGGTACGTGATCCGTTCCCCAAAGATATTTTAAATGTTGAGAGCGTATAAATGTACCAGCATAAAAAAATTTAGATAAACCTTCCGCACCCCTTTATACCCCACCCCAAGTTTTTTACCCGCAAGACTTTTTTCAACAGTCAAAAAACGAAATTTCAGCTATTTTTACTTTTTTCGTTTTAGGCATTTTTCTATGTTGCCACTGGACGGATTTTTAAAAAATCCAAATCTTTTGCGTCCTTGGCATAGTACCAACATTGTGTAAAAATTCCATCGAAATCCGAATGGTACTTCTCAAGTGATAGGCGACTATAGGATTAGCGGGCAGACCGAAAGACAGACACAGACCGACACTCAGACAAACAGACCGTGGGAAATGAGTGACATGGTTGTTCCCAAACTAACAATTATCACTCCTATTAGAGTTGTAAGAATGATTATACAATATTCCTTACACAGCATTGTATACTATAAGAAGATTGGCAAAACCCTCTTAGAACAGCTATACAAGCGGAATGGGCACACCTAATAGGACACTTCAGGCATTTAAGACGTTGTATAATGGTTGCAGGTAACAGTTATACACTTTGAAGTTGAGTCATTAATTTTCAGATAATGATTGTAGAAGGAAGATAAACCAAAATATGTGTGTAAAAATAAAAAAAAATTAAAAAAAAAAATGTTACCTTGTTTTATAAAGTATCCTCCCGACAAGTATTTCAGTGCGGACCTGTGCGCCCAAAAGCATGTCACAAAAACTGTTCGAAATGATTTCCGTTTTGCTCGACGCACAGCTGGGCGCGTCTTAGCCATGTCTCTTTACAAGCACGCAATAAAATCACTGGTTGATTTCTGATCACTGTACTCATTTCCTCAATTCGAGCACGTAATTCTTCGCGTGTATTAACCGGTGTTTTATACACTAGAGTTTTTAGCCAACCCCACAAACAAAAGTCTAAAGGATTTAAGTCCGGAGACCTTGGCGGCCAAGGTACAAAACCGCCACGGCCGATCCAACGATTATTAAATTGTCTATTTAAAAATTCACGCACATTTCTTGCATAATGGGGTGGTGCCCCATCTTGTAAAAACCACATGTTTTGTCTAATATTTAAAGGCACATCTTCCAGTAAACCAGGCAAATTGTGTTGCAAGAAATCAAAATAATTTTCACCAGTTAAGCGATTTGGTAATTCAAAAGGCACCACTAAAATTCCATTAACAATTCCCGCCCACAGGTTGATTGGTTCAAATCGCTGTTGAAAATTGGTTTCCCTTATTTCATGGGGATTTTCAATAGCCCAAACGTGAGAATTACGTGAATTAATAATTCCGTTTCTAGTAAAGAGGGCTTCATCACTCACTAAAATTTGATTTAAAAAATTGTCATCATTTTGATGTTTATTTAAAAGCCAATTGCAAAAGTCAACCCTTTGTTCATGATCTTCCGGTTGTAAGGCCTGCACTTTTTTTATGTGAAACGGATAGAACTGATTTTCACGTAGAGTTTTCCAAGTTTTATACTGACTAATCGCCAATTGAGTTGAAATTTGTCGGGTGCTTACTGTTGGATCATCACTTACTAATTCTAAAATTTGTTCTTCTAGTTCTATTTGATCGTGTGGTCTTGGAGCACCGGCATGATCTCCTCTGTGAGGTCTTAAGTCACCTGATTCACGAGCTCTTTGCACTACATTAACAAAGGCACGAGGGGTTGGTTGCACTCGATTGGGAAACCGATCCGCATAGATCCGTGATGCCGCGGCAGCATTTTGTAAAAACTCCCTGTAAATAAGAACCATGTCCACAAGTTCAGCATTTTCGTAAACATGTGCCATTTTTGATTTGAGCCTCGCAACAGACACGATTATTCACTTACGCGTTACCGACTACCGACTGATACTGACTGTATACAACTGAAGAAAAGAATTGTAAAAAGATCGTTCCAAATTCTTTCGCTTTTTTGTTTCCGATGCGATGAACGGATAAGGCGGATTATATCTGTTGTTGCCAAACACGAGAACATAATATCATTATTGAGACAGGGCGGTACTCAAACTTCCAAAGGGCTATAACTTTGTTACTTTAATTTTACCAGAAAAATGGTAAAGGAAAAAACATTTCTTTTGATCAGATCTACTCACTGTTAAAATAAATGACTCAACTTCGAAGTCACCCTGTATAACAAAAGTGTAAGCCTCTTGCAGCCGCTATACGACATTTGCGTCAGTGCAATATTCAGTTTTTGTCAACTATACAACTACTCTGTTACGTGATTCTACTTTATTGCAGCCAAACTATTTCTTATGTATTGCATAGACGAAGTGAAGAATATATAACTAATACATTACAGTCATCTTGTTTACTTACATATCGGCGATTTTGAATTTCATACACAGGTATATGATAAACTTCTACACTGTGATATAGGGCTATTGAATTACTTGCGCCGCAAATTTTATTGTGATCATTGGGCAAAGTAGTTACGCAATTTCTACGGGCTTCGTATTTGATGCATATTTTGATAGTGATCAAAAGTATGTCTAGATTTTTAAGATGAAAAACTGAACTTATCTGCGTCAAATCTTCCACAAATCCTATATTTAGACACAATTACACTGATGTTTATCACTTTATATCTGTAATTTCGAACTGAAACATAATTATTTGATAATAAATAGAGGAATAAATGTTTGCCCAATATGGCGGGTGGTTGGTAATAATGGCATCGTCCATGTTGTCTTTAGTTTATTAGAATATTTTGGTGTTGCCTGCAGGTGTTATACAACAATTTGACAAATGTCTGAAATACAATATCGACAGAATCGAATGACAACCAGAATTTGTACCAGATCTATATCTTCTGTTTGAACAGATGATAAAACCTTTTGAACCAATATGCATGCGTTGTTTGTCTTAAAACATTGGTTATGGCATTTGAACAAAAATATGACAGCAGAAAGTTAGGTTATGGTCAAGTTGTATACCAACATATTGAGCATATGTACAGCCTTTAACAGTTACTAAACAACAGTTGTATAAGTGCTTCCGTTGGGAGCAACTTGTTGGCTAAACTAGTAACATGCACATCAAAACAGCAAGGCTCGGGTTTGTTTTATAAACGTTACCATGGATGCCACAACACAACCATTTTGACTAACGTGCAAATATGCCGTATAAAATAGTTGTATAAACGTTTATGCAACAGTTAAAAATTTGTCCTATAAGGCGTTGCATAACTATGCTATAAGAATATTTTAAACACCTCATTTTAGAGCAAATATGTTGCAGAAAGCAAATTTGCACACAACATTAAGCCAGCATTTTGGTATTCAGGCAACAACAATAGAGAGCTTTTCTGGCTGAACGGTTCTTTTACCAATAGCTTATAGCCCTACTTTGCTAGTCGGATTCGTCAGTAGGCGTCGGAAGTAACAATTATCGTCCAAGAACTAACGTTGATGTCCCATTACCAAGTTTACCCATTTACCCTCCACTGTCTACTTCGCGCGCTTGCGCTCTGTGTCCCGGCGCGGCGTCTGTGCGATCCGGGCGGCGTCCCGGAATAAAACCGATCGTTCCGGGCGGGTTCCGGGCAGCTGCACCACCAACTCCAACCACACCACGCCACCGGCGACGGCACAAAGTCCACGCGCGTCGCAGTCGAAGTCGAACACCAGCTCCGACCGACGGCGACACCACCACCGCGACACGTAACCACGCACAAGGTGAGTTCTTTGTTTTAGAGGGATGAATGGGTATAGTATGGTCAACGTAGATTGCTTCCGGTGAATGCTCGTACAGTCTTAGAGAAAATAGAGTGCCAAATTTTTATAAATGTTGTAGTCGTCAACATTAACGACAGATTGACAATATGAGGGTCCAAAAATTAACCGTGTTTGGGATAAATGATTTGTTATCATTTTTCTAACAATAGGGACATTTCTGCGCTACCTCATACTTTTCTTTCTTGTCGCGTCTCTTAATCTGGTAATTTTGTGTATTACACTAGGATATCTAGAATTTCAGACACAAAAATTGTAATAAGTTGTTTTACATTGGAATTATATACTTGGGAATATGAGGAAAGACCCCACACCGACGGATAGAAAATATGTTGATCAGCGAACTTTTTCGTTTAAGGTCAAAGTTGAAAGAAACGCTAATTCGCGTTTATTACAATTAATTTTTTGTGTGAGTGGGCCAAAAAAATGTTTGGATGAAAATACCTACAAGATAAAACCCTTGATACATCCAATTTCTCGTAAGGCTTAATCTGCTATTGTCGACAAACATTAAAAATCATCGATTTCCACATTTATTTTTTTTGCTGGGAAATGCGTAACGGTAAATCTGCAAGCATAGCCAAAGTCTACGGCTTTTATGGTGCTTAACATCAAAAAATCAACAATGTTCATCCGTTTCTGCAAATTTCTAATTGTTACTATTTCTTTTTTTTAATGGATTTTCTTTTGACGAGCTATTAAGTCACTTTATAGGTGATAGCAAGTTTCCTTATACCAATCATGTAAAAATTTATTTGTTTATTTTTGCACTATAAACAACAAACAATGCATAAATCGACACAAGTTCGAAACACCATTTGACCTTTGTTGTAGGATCTACTTCTATATTGTTTTTCTTTTTGGCTCTCAAAGGTCCAAATCTGTTTTTTTTTTCATCAGGGTGTGTATTTTTCATTAGATTTTCAGTGGTGAGCATCCTAATTGCGACTGTGAACAAATTTGCAGACCTAATCCAATTCTTTATTACGCAGAAATAGACATACTATTGGTCACGATTTTTCACGTGGTTGAATAATGGATAATCCAAAGTTACGGGACAAAAGGCCAACTTTCTCAAAAAGGCCAACTTTCTCAAAAAAATTAGTAACAATTAGAAATTTGCAGAAGCGGCTGAGCAATTTTTTTAATGTTAAGCACCACAAAAGCTTCAGGATTTGATTATTATTTTAGATTCACCATTATCGATTATTCAGTAAAAATATGACTGGCGTATTATTTTGTAATAACAAATCAACAGTTACGGCAAATTGGCTGTGAAGGTTTCAATTTGAAGATATGGTATTGTAATCCACTTCAATTTTTTGACCACCAATAATTTGTAACTATTTGAATATACGTTAAAAAATGTTTTTTTTTTGTCAAATCTCTCCATTAAAAGCCCTCAATTACATAATTCCGCTGCAGGACTGCCTTCACAGTTTTTTTAAACAGGCTCGCTTTTTGGCTAGTTAGCTTGGTATTCTGTGCAGAAGCGATATCAGTTGATAATAATCTGTAGTAATTAGTACAACTTCATTCAGGTCGAAACAGGAAATAGACAATTATGGATTTTTAGTACATTTAGACCAGTTTTTCATACCACGAAAATGCATATTACTTTTTTCCGTCTGTCGGTCCTTCAGTGTATCTGGTAGCACGAAGCGAGCATAGTTTCTGAAAAATACGTAAATTGGCGGAAATCTAACAGCGGTAGCACTTAACACCACTTGCTTGATCAAAACTTGCAAAACCTCAAAACTCCGAGTTTCTATCTAGTTGATTATTTGGAACCTCACATAGCTCGTTCTCTATCTCTTTCTATACACCTGAAATGCACCATTTATAACTTTGCACCAAGATAATCGATTTTACATTTAGCTCAGGCTTTGACATCAATGTGGGTGGACGGCTACAAATAAACGATGATTTTGTGTTTTCCCACCCTTCAGAGAATAATTCGATTAAGCAATTAATGGATTGACTAAAACATTAGCAAATTACTGCAGGTACGCTGTAATCAACTTTAATGGAAACGAAAAAACAGGACACCCAGGCATACAGGAACAGTTTTATCTTTTGGGCTTGTGAGAAAAAGCGATCAGAAGCGCTCGTGCAGACTGTTGATTTGTCAACACGATACTCGGAAAGGAGTCAGATAGAATTTCCTTCGCTGGTGCAACATCTCGAAGACTGTACTCGTATAGTTTGGTTTTCATATTTAATATTCACTACTTCAAGGGCCCGTTTGAGTAGCCTATGCGTTGGCTCCTTATGGCGACCGGTATGCCTCAAAAATGAAATATCATACACAGGACTGTATTTTAAGGGGGGTTTCTATGGAACCTTTTTCATTAAAAAAATGCGGGGTGTTGAAGTTTAAAAATAAAAGACAGTTTTTTTCAATAACTTCAAAACCGTCAACTGGGATGAACCGAAATTTAGTATGCGGATTTACCTAAGTATTGTCTACATTGAAAAGTCTACTTAAAATTAAAGTACACCAGTGGCGGAGATACAGGGGACTAGTAGCAATATTTTTACAAATAAAAATAGTACGCCACTGTTTTTTTTCCGAAATGCGCAATTTTTTAAAATTTACCTTCAATTTTCTACAAATAATCACTATTGTGTTTTTCCCTAGAGTGCATTGTCTTCGTAAAAATAAAAAAAAACAAATTAGATAATCAAAGCCTTATTTCAATAAATGTTCAAAAAGTGCAGCATCTTTTTAATAAAAACGTATTTCCGCAAAATTTGTTGTAGCTTGAATTTTATGAAAGACGTTATCTATTCTTTTTTGTAACTGATCAACAGCATTAATTTGTTCAGCATATTCTATCAGCTTAAAAGCGCCAAACAAAAAGAAATCCAGGGGGTTCAAATCAGGAGACCTCGCAGGCCAATGTAAGGGTCCGTTTCTGCCAATCCAAACTTGCCTAAAATGATTATTTAACCATCCGGTTGTCGTGACGGCATGTCTTCAAGAATGATCTAATTTGTTTTATTTTCATTTTTACGAAAACAGATTTTAAGTAAAGACTTTTGGATGTGGACAATACTGAGGTAAATCCACATACCAAATTTTAGTTCAGTACAGAAATAATGTTTTTTATTTTTAAACTTCAGAACCCCGTATCTTTTTAATGAACCCCTCGAGAAAAAAATGTTACAAAGAAGACCTCCCTTAAAATGCAGTCCTACGTATGATGTTTCATTTTTGGACATGTCTTGTAAATCACCCGGTATACAAAGTTCTCAAAAGTTTTAAATCCAAGTGCGCGTTTTTCCTAGCTTTTTGGTGATACCGCGTTTGGAATATTGATTACTTAGAAACAAGTAACCAGACACGGCTTTATTTAAAACCAAATTCAACCTGACTCAGAACATATTGACGTAGTATATCACATTAACCTTTTTCCTTCATCCGCACCACATAAAGCTATTTATATAACCTCCAGATTTAGCTACGCAGGTGAATCCATTCATAAAACTTTTATGATATCACCAACTGGCCGCTTAAGGCGGCTCCGACGCAGTGAGTTTCAAGCCATTTACAAGGGTTCAGCTGCTTCAAAACTGACACTCCATTTTTCAATATTTTTCAATTAAATTCATGCAGTATGTTGAGAAGATAATTGCGCAGGGTGCTATAGGAGCACTTTTTGAAATTTTGTTTTTGCACAAATTTTATGATGGGTTGAAGTGCGCACGTTTTCTGTTCAACTTCGCGATTTTTTTAAAAAGAACCTAGTGAAAAAAATGAAAAAGTGGCTCTATAGCACAATGTGGGGTTTTGTTTTCAGCACACTGTGAAAATTTTATCCAAAAATATCAAAAAATAAAGCGTCAATTCCGAAGCGCGCAAACCTCTACAAATCGTATTTTGGACGAATTTTGCCTACTGTTTCGTGCTGGCAACACAAGCGTTGCGGCGCAATGTACGGACTAGGAAAGGACGTATTCAGAAAAATTTAGTGGCCCTATTTCATATAATATCTCGTAGATAACTCATTCTGCTAATAGGTGATCATAATCGCGATCGCTGATACTCCTCGATTTTGAAGCCGTTTTACTTCCCACGCCATTGGCGAGGAAGTATTGTAATCGCGAAAAATTTCTAAAATGAGATGTTATGTTTTTTTAAGTCATATGGCATCTACATCACGAAAAACTGTATCGCTCATCATCAACTTGGAAATTACCGCTCGGATTTTTATGAAATTTCCACACTGCCAAAGCTTTCTAGTACTACTACACTGGCAACGGTGCTATAGGCAAAAAAGAAAAGTAACAATTGCTGAAACTCCGGTTTTGACGTTTCAGGGGTTCGTAATCATTGACATAAAAAAATTGTACTGCTTAAAAAGGGGGGGGGGTTGAAATCAGTGAAACACGTTCTATTATTAAGAAGCTTTTGATCCCAGTGATTACAGGAAATTTAAGTAAAGAAAATCCGACGAGTAATGTGCTCACGATTTGAAAAAAATCGGTATCTGCTCTTTAGGTTTGACACCAAGAGCCAACAGATCTGCAACTACCGACAGTAGGGAAGAATAAATTCTGATATCACTACAGTCAAGTATAGGGGAATTTAGCGTGGAACTTTAAAATTATCGATATGTCAAGAAAATATGTTCTTGAGAATGATAATCTGGTAGATTTTATACCTGTATCTTCATGTGAATTTCATGACCCGTGAAATGTACCCATTTCGCCGTTACGTTCAATTCATAATTGCCTAGGGTGTTATCAGAGCTTTTTACAAAATTTTGTATTTGCGCAAGAATTATGGTGGGTTGAAATGCTTACTATTTATGCTCAGCTTCTTGATATTTTAAAAAGATCCTAGTGGATAAAATCGAAAAAGTGGATCGCTGGCACCCTGTGGACCTTGTTTTTAGCATGCTGCAAGAGTTTTATTTGGAAATAATAAAAAGTGAGCT